GGGGGTAAGGGCATGGGGTGGGGTGGGAACCAGGTGGAGGGGAGCTATGGGGGAAAAAAGAGGAACATCTGTAATAATCTGAACAATAAAGATTAATTTTAAAAAAAGACCCAATTACAATAGGAGAGTCCAAATAACCCACACAAGGGATATTTCTAGAGAGCCAACTTAAGAGAGCTAAGCAACTGCACCACTGGGCCCCACAGGACACTTACTGCATGAGGCCACCCCATGAAGCCTGGGAGGAATTAACAGTTCTATCTAATACACAGAAACAAACATAAAGAGACAGCTAAAATGGGGAGACAAAGAAACAACCACCAAGTGAAAGAAAAGGAATAATCTCCAGAAATAGAGATAAATTAAATGGAGACAAGCAATTTATTAGATACAGAGTTCAAAGTAATGGTTGTAAGTTTGCAAAAGGAACTTAGTGAGAATAACAAGGAACTTAGTAGGAACTACAACATCATGAAAAAGGAATAGAAACCATGAAAAAAAGCCAGTCAGAAATGAAGAATACCATATCTGACATCAAGAATACACTGGAAGAAATTTAAAGTAGATTGAACAAAACAGAGAATCAAATCAGTGATTTGAAAGACAAGATAGAAAAAACACACCCAAATAGAGCAGTAAAAAGAAAAAATTAAAAAGCAGGAGGATAGTTTAAGGGAACTGTGGGACAATATGAAATGTAATAACATCCACATCATATCAGTACCAGATGGAGAAAGAAGAGAACAAGAAATGGAGAAACTGTTTAAAGAAATGACAGAAAACTTCCCTAACCTGAAGAAGTTCAGGAAACACAAAGTCCCAATTGAGATAAACCCAAAAAGACTCACTTAAAGACACATCATAATTAAAATGACAAACATTAAACACAAAGCAAGAATCATAAAGGCAGCAAGAAAAAGACAGAAAGTTACCTACAAGGGAATTCCCACTAGACTGTTACTTCAAGCCAGAAGGGATTGGCATGAAGTGTTCAAAGTAATGAAAAGCAAGGACCCAAATCCAAGATTATTCTATCTATCAAGGCTATCATTTAATATTGAAGGCAAAATAAGGAGCTTTCCAGGCAAAAAACAAACAAAGAAAACTAAAGGAGTACATTACCACCAAACCAGCAATGCAAGAAATGTTAAAGGGACTGCTGTAAGAAAAAGAAGAAATTGAGAGAGGGAAATGAACATGAGTATAAAGAAAAATATGGCCAGAACCCAAAAATACACCCAAGTCATATGCTCAATTAATATTTGACAAAGGAGGCAAGAGCATACAATGGAGTCAAGACAGTCTCTTCAATAAATAGTGTTGGGAAAATTGGACAGATACATGCCAAAAAATGAAACTAGACACCAACTTACATCATACACAAAAATAAACTCAAATTGGATAAAGGAATTAAACGTAAGACAGGAAACCATAAAAATCTTAGAAGAATCCATAGGCAGCAAAATATCAGACATATGTCATAGCAATATCTTTACCAATACAGCTTCTACGGCAATGGAAACTAAGGAGAAAATAAACAATTGGGACTGCATAAAAATAAAAAGCTTCTGCACAGCAAAAGAAACCATCAACAAAACAACAAGAAAGCCCACTGCATGGAAGAACATATTTGCCAATGCTATCTCCAATAAGGGTCTAATCTCCAAAATTTATAGGGAACTCATATATCTTAACAAAAGGAAGATAAATAATCCAATAAAAAAAATGGGCAAAGGACCTAAACAGACACTTTTTGAAACAGGACATACAGAAGGCCAAGAGACATATGAAAACATGCTCAAAGTCACTAGTCATCTGAGAGATACAAATCAAAACAACGAGGTACCATCTTACACCTGTCAGAATGGCTATAATCAACAAATCAACAAACAACAAGTGCTGGTGAGGATGTGGAGAAAAAGGAGCCCTTCTGTACTGTTGGTGGGAATGCAGACTGGTGCAGCCACTGTGGAGAACAGTATGAAGTTTCCTCAAAAAGTTAAAAATGGAACTCCCATTTTACCCAGTAATCCCACTTCTAGGACTATATCCCAAGAAAACAGAACCACCAATCATGTTCATAGCAGCACAATTTACCATAGCTAAGATTTGAAAACAGCCTAAATCCCCACCAGCAGATGAGTGGATTAAAAACCTGTAGTACATCTACACAATGAATACTACACTGCTATAAAAAAGAAGGAACTTTTACCATTTGCAACAGCATGGATGGAGATGGAGAGCATTATGCTAAGCAAAATAAGCCAGTTGGGAGAAAGATGAATATCACATGATCTCACTTATATGTGGGATATAATGATCAACATAAACTGATGAACAAAAATAGATCCAGAGACAAGGGGCAGGGGAGAGGGGGGTTTGGGATCAACCAAAAGACTTGTATGCATGCATATTAGCATAACCAATGGACACAGACACTGGGGTGGTGGGGGCCTGCCCTCAGGGGTGGGAGTGGCAGGGGGAGTCAATTGGGAAAATGTGGAAAAGGACACGTTTGTAATACTTTAAACAATAAAAAACAAACAAACATAAGAGCCCTAACTGGTTTGGCTCAGTGGATAGAGCATCGGCCTGCAGACTGAAGGGTCCCAGGTTCAATTCTGATCAAGGGCATGTACCTTGGTTGTGGCACATCCCCAGTAAGGGGTGTGCAGGAGGCAGCTGATTGATGTTTCTAACTTTCTATCCCTCTCCCTTCCTCTCTGTAAAAAATCAATAAAATATATTTAAAAAAAACATATGAGATAACTATAATTTTCACTAAAGAGATGAGTAAAGTGAGGCACAAAGAAGTATTTTGCCTATAGTCATATAGGTAAAAATAGCAGAGCCATAATTAAGAAATGACAAGCTGTCTTCTTAAAAATTAAATCCTTGGGTAATACATACATGTATAGGCAAAGCATGTATACATATATAGGTAATCATATACTGTGATCAATATTAAGTTAGAATATTGATAATGCCCATTTAAGTATCTAATGTCCACTTCTCATTGGCTACCTAAACCAAAATATTTACTCTATCCTGCTTACTAGTATATGTGACTGGTTCAGGAATAGGCAAGCTAAGTCACCTTAGACCAATGAGCTAGAAGGTATTTGGAAGACAAGGCTGGCTAGTTTTATTCTAAAAAAATGAGTTTTGGACTCTTTTTCATTGGATAAGAGTTAGACAATATAAGTGATTGCTTATAGCAGCCACTGAGTGAATTAACTTTAGGATAAACCTTGTGCTGTGGAAAGAGTTAGCACGGGAGTGGGCTGGACCAAGCAATTCTGAGCTTATCTTACTCCTCTGTCCTTGCTGTATATGTATGCATTAACTTATTTTTAAACTCCATTCTGAGTTAGATTTAGGGGGTAGCGGGTACTAACTGCTGAAAGTGTCTGACTTAACTTACAAAAATTAAATGAAACTATAAATCCCTGAGTGGTTGAGAGCAGATATTAAGCTCTTTGGCTAACTTATATTTAGCACTTTGCACAATGTAAATGTCCCATGAGGCTTAGAGAGCTGAACTGTTACACTTAAGATATGGTGGAATGAACAATGGTCAGGAGTAGATCCAGGTTCTTATTTTGGTTTTGTATCTAACACTGTAAGATTCATTGAGTAAGTTAATTTAGGGCTCTACCTGTTTCCTGTTTTGAAAATGAGTGATTTAAGGGTAGTCTCAAGTTTAACATTCTATGACATGCAATTGAGCTGAATTTATAATAATTCCATACTGATGTCTAAAATAGATTTTTTAAATTTAAATCTTAAGTAGTCCATATATATATATATTTTTCTCATCATAAAAATAATATGTAATATTAATACTGACTCTTGAGTTTTTGGTTGCTTACATTCTAATTGAGAGAAAGTTTTAATATGTTTTTAAAGGTTTATTATAATGATTTCAAAAAGTACAGCATTAGATACAATTTAGGGGAAATTATTCACCTGAAATATTGCACTTTCTCAAGAATTATGATTATGTATACTATACAGGATAATAGACGTCAAAATTATTAGAGGAAATGTGGTATAGTCAGACTTTACTTTGAATCAAAACTTGAAAAAAAAACAGTATTGTGGAAAATTGGATGGCAATAATCAGTGTAATTACAACACAACTTGATTGAATACATTACTTTGTTGAATCTGTTGGTCAGCAAATTAAAATGTATGTTGAAGCTTATAGTTGAGTATTTATGCAATAGCAGTAGAATAGTGCCAACAAGTTGATTGTGTAAGCAAAGAACCTCATTTTAGCTAAACTGGATTTGACAAATTACATGACATTCTTCTGCCTGATAAATCTGAGATTTATAATGCTTACTGCAATCAACAGTAATGAAACAGCAGAGAACTTCAATATCTGACATTTTAATCTATATATTTTACTTTTCTTCTTTAATTCTGGAAAAATATGACAATAAATAAGTACCTATCAATAATAACTATAAATGTATATGGATTAAATGCTCCAATAAAAAAATATAGGGTAGCTGAATGGATAAGAAAACATGACCCATATATATGCTGTCTACAAGAGATCCACCTCAGAACAAAAGATACACACAGAACAAAAGTAAAGGGGTGGGAAAAAATATATTCAAGTCAAATGGAAATAAAATTAAAAAGCTGGGATAGCAATAGTCATATCTGACAAAACAGATTTCAAAACAAAGGCCACAACAAGAGACAAAAAAGGTCACTACATAATACTAAAGGGATTGATCCAACAAAAAAACATAACTCTTGTAAACATGTATGTACCCAATATATGAACACCTAAATATATTTTTAAAAATTCTCAGTGGACTTTCAGGGAGAAATCAACAGCAATACAGTCATAATAGGGGATAGGAAGAGGTTAACCAAAGAACATATATGCATAAAGGCATAACCCATAGACACAGACAATAGTGTGGTGAAGGCCTGAGGTGGGGCAGGGACTGGGTGGAGGGGGACAAAGGAGGAGAAAATGGGAGACGTCTGTAATACCATCAACAATAAAAAAAACAGTAAGAGCTACAAAAGGATACAATTATCTTCAAAAAGATGATGAATGGGATTTACAGGTAAAAATAAGATCTGCGGCAATGTATTACAGATGCTGATACAATTATATATGCATATGCAATGGGGCACAAAGGTCTATTCTCCCTGGAAGGGGGCAAGCAAGGCTTCATAGAGGAAGTGATGCCAGGAAAGGCTTCATAGAGGAAGTGACACTTGACCTGAGATGGTACAATAGAACATTCCAGAAAGGGGGGTAAAAAGGAATAAAAGTACACGGGCATGAAATCAATGACATTTTCAAAGAATTCTAAGTAATATAATATGACTAGAGTAAAGGAATTAAGAATGAGGTTGGCAGTCAGATCACAGAAGGCCTGTTTACCATTCGAAAGAGTCTGGAATTCATCCTGTAGGGCAGGCAACAAGGAGATATTAAAGGACTTTAAGAAGGGAAGTAACAGGTTTGGATTTTAAGGGACAAAACATCTTTGGCAGCAATATGGAAGAAGGTTTGGAATAAGGCATGGTGCTCTTCTTGTGGCTCAGGCATCAGTTGATTAGTTCCATTAAGTGATACAGATTTCTCAGTGAGGCAATTATTTAACTGAGGTGTATTAGAAATAACACTTTCCTTTCCCAAACATGTAAAAGACATCTAACTAGAATGATGAACAACCAAGGCATTTTCCCCCTTCTAATTTAATAAATAGAACAAGGCTGCATAGTCTTTGGCATCAATCCCAGATACTGAAACAGTGAGAAAACAACAAAAATGGAACATGTTATCTGTCCATAAATCTAATTGTATGGTTAGGGTTATGGAGCATTTTAAGAGTTATGACTTCCCTGGCAAAATACCAAAAAAACATACCTTTGAAAATTATTCAAAACAGCCATTTGGCATCCAACCATGTTGACAATGAAAAATGTTGAATAAATAGCCTACGTGTAATTCACCATTCTTGAAGAAGTAAAGGATGTTTTCTAAGGCTTTTATTAAATAATATCATGGTCATGAAAAAAGCCAAGAGAAAACCTCCCAGCTCACTTAGAAACTGGAGTCAATCTTTATTTTTTTAAATAGATATATTCTCTCATACAGAAGAATATCTGAGCTGACACATTCACAGTGCTGATCTCTGCTTTCTAGTCCTTTCTTTCTGCCTTTTGGTGTTTTCTAATTTTCTACAAGAGCATGCACTGCTTCTAGAAGAAAAAACAAGTCAATAGAGCAAACTGCACAATCAGATGACTTAGGCTGTCTTTTTCAACTTTTAGATTCTAAACCAGCTTTCTGATTCTGAATAAAATTAATATAAACTGCTTTTGAGTGTGTTTGGAATACAGGCAAATTTTCTCTCCTCAAGTCTTTATCTACTGGGAATAAATTTTTGAATTTTCAAAAACACAAAAATTCCCTCTCTCATTTATTCAAGCCAGTGGAGGGGAATACTGACACAGTATCTGAAAACAGAAGGGAATTGAAAATATCAGATATACATGCATATTATACTAGGCTTTGTACAATGTTTTTGGCATGCCTTCTGAATTAAATTTTTCTTTAGCTAACATTAAAATGACTCTATGTTCCTACATGTGGCCTGGCAAATGAAGGTTATGGTAAAAGAAACAGGACTATAATTTAAAATTCATTGCATGTAATCTACAAACTGTATCTTCCACAGGCAAATGGGCAAAGACTCCATGCTGAAAAAGATAAGCCACTTTTTAAAAACAGACAGCTGAAGTAGGGTGATGAAAGCATAGAAACCGAATGCTAACCTCTGCTGTGTGTGATGCAATGCAGATGTAATAGTAAAACAAAACACCTGGATCAAGAGTCCACTCCAGCAGTTATTCTGAAAATCCAGCTTTTCATAATCAGAGGACACTCTTTTAAAAGCAGCTCCATCTGAAATCACAGTCAGCAAAGAATTTCAAAAGAAATATGAAACACTCATCTCTTAGGGTTAAAGAAAGGGTCTGTCAAATAAACTTGGTGTAAAGTATTTCTCCATCCCTAACACTTATGAAGGGACTTGCAAAGAAAGATGTGTAAATATAATTTATCTTAAATCAAGCACATTGCAACTTTCCCAGCATTACAAGAATTTAGATGATTTAAAGAAGAGCTGGCCCTAACTGGTTTGGTTCAGTGGATAGAGCATCAGCCTGCGGACTGAAGGGTCCCAGGTTTGATTCCAGTCAAGGGCACATGCCCGGGTTGCAGGTTCAATCCCCAGTAGGGGTCATGCAGGAGACAGCCAATCAATGATTCTCTCTCACCATTGATGTTTCTATCTCTCTCTCTCTCCCTCTCACTTTCTCTATATATATATATATATGAGTTTAATGTATTATATTTATAATAATGTATAGATTCTTTTTTGAAACAGTAACTTTCTTACTAGTTGAGACTTGTACTACCCCCTCACATGAACTCTTTTCCTCAACCTTGCAGGTGAACACAATTTCTGAAACCTATACTGCCATAAACATTCAAATTATTAGGTCTTGGGGAGAATATGTTTTACAAACTTTTTACACTAATTACATCATTTTTACCTCCCATGTCTCTCAGGCAATGGGGCTCTCATGCTTCTCCTGTCCTAAACTGGGAAGGAAAACCATCGCCACCAACCCTTGCCAACAGTTCCTCTCCAATTCTGCTTTCTAAGTTCAAAAGAATCCATCTGGCCCTAGCTGGTTTGGCTCAGTGGATAGAGCTTCGGTCTGTGGACTGAAGGGTCCCGGGTTCAATTCTGGTTAAGGGCACATGCCCAGGTTTCTGCTCCATCCCTAGTGGGGGCATGCAGGAGGCAGCCAATCAATGATTCTCATCATTGATGTTTCTTTCTCTTTCTCTCTCTCCTTTCCTCCCTGAAATCAATAAAAAGATATTAAAAAAAAAAAGAATCCATCTGGCTGAGAACTGTCCTCAGACTGGGAAGAAAAAGACCAAGCAGGCCTGGCAAGAATTTATAGCTGGCAGGTGGAAGGGAAGGCTGGGCACATCACACACACACACACACACACACACACACACACACACCTGCCCATACACCTGTCACTCTTGATGTTAGCGGATATCAGAATTGTAGACTGTGGTGGGATGCCAGTTTTTTGTTTTGTTTTGTTTTGTTTATGTCTAACCATGGAGGAAAGGGATCATTGGAACCAAACAAGGAATTCCAGCCGTGGGCAAACTACGGCCCACGGGCCGGATCCGGCCCGTTTGAAATGAATAAAACTAAAAAAAAAAAAAGACCATACCCTTTTATGTAATGATGTTTACTTTGAATTTATATTAATTCACACAAACACTCCATCCATGCTTTTGTTCCGGCCCTCCGGTCCAGTTTAAGAACCCATTGTGGCCCTCGAGTCAAAAAGTTTGCCCACCCCTGAATTAGGCCCTTGGCTTAAGTGCTAAGCTTTAGGGTTGGGATCCAGACCCAGGCGTGGTTGAGCATCAACCTATGAACCAGGAAGTCATGGTTTAATTGCTACTCAGGGCATTGTAGAAGTTCTGAAACTTCCATAAATAAGTTACCTTGGATTGCTCCTGTCTATCTCCAGCCTAGTTCTCAACCATATTAGTAGGTCTTGCCTCTTATGCATAATTATCCATTTATCCATTCTTTCCCACCTTTCTCTACCTGTGCACTCTTCTGCTATGGTTATCTGCTCAGCCCCTGAACCTGATACTCACTTGTCTTCCCTTCACAAATCCCTGCCACTATATCCCTAGAAACACGCAATTAACTTCCCTAGTTGATTGCAATGAGCCTTTCCAGTATTTACTACTTTGCCACAAGTTCTTTCCACATCTTAGCTCTAATTGAATCAGCTTTCCTTAAAGCCTGTGTAGTGGTGTCGACTCTCTCCCACTTGCCCTGACTCACAGGGCAAGAAAATGTTAGCACTGCCTCTTGCTTCCCACTACTACTGCTTGATTATTATCACTCAACCACGTCCTCTTGGACGTGCATGCCTCTGCTTTACACCACCCTTTCTCCACTTGTGGATAATTTTTTAAAAATATATTTTTATTAATTTCAGAGAGGGAGAGGAAGAGATAGAAACATCGATGATGAGAATCATCGATTGGCAGCCTCCTGCATGCCCCACACTGAGTATCAAGCCCATAACTGGGGCATATGCCCTGACCTGGAATTAACTTCGTGGTTCATAGGTTGATGCTCAACCACTGAGCCACACTGGCTGGGCAACTTTTGGAGAATTTTTAAGCTCAGAATGCTTTTACATCTCCTAATGATCAAACTGGCTGTGGTCATTCAACTGCTTCTCATCCATGTTTCATTACCAGCCTGCACCTACATGGGCATTTCTTCTGTGTTCAACTACATGCATTCAACAGATATCTGCACCACAGGCATAAGAGTAAAATCAAGGGAGACAATAAAAAGTAAATAAATAAATAATAGGGTTCTTGTTCCCCTACAATGCACACAGCCTGTTTCTTCAGATCTACTTCATAGAGTAATTGCAAATTAACTGGAACAATGTATCAATGTATGTAAAGAACTAAGAACAGGGCTTGAAATATAGAAGGTATTAATTGTTATTAATATTCTCCAAAGTATAAAACAGATACAGCTTAAGCAAACATGAACCATTCTGGTATAAAATCTAATTTTTAAATTTTCATCATATTCAACACTGCCTTGTATTAGTTAATACTGTAACAACCTCTTTTAAATGAATATATATATATATATATATAGCTCAAAATAAAGTGATTTTCCTCCTTACTGCGCTACTAAAACTGTCTTCACAATGGCCACCAAAGGCCTATTTTCAAAATTTCAAGACCATTTTGAATCTACTTTATTTACTTATTTTTGTTAATCCTAACCCAAGGATATTTTTTCCATTGCTCTTTTTTTTAGAGAGTGGAAAGGAGGGGAAGGGGGATAGAAACATCAATGTGAGACATATTAATTGGTTGCTTCCCACACGCACCTGGACCAGGCAGGCTTGCACCTGCAACCCAGCTATGTGCCTTTGACTAGGAATCAAACCAGTGACATTTTGATGTGCAGGTGGAAACTCTAACCACTGAGAGACACTGGCCAGGGCTTGAAGCTACTTTAAAAGTACTTTCTAACCTCTCTTTTGAACTACTTGTCAACCTCTGAACACTTTCTTCCCCTTTGGAATCTAACAGAGCATGGATTTGGTTTTCATTCTGCCTCTGACCGTTTATTTTCTGTCTCCATGGCAGGCTCCCCTTCTTCTGGCTTACTCTTTAATTGTCGTATTTCTCAGGTTCATCCCTACTTTTCACTGCTTCTCAAAATCTTTCAATATGCTGTGCTACCTTAATTTACACTTTTATCATCTCTGGCTTGGACTATTGCAACACTCTAAATCAGGGTCGCTAACTGGTGGTCCACGGACCACTGGTGGTCTGTGAGGTCCGAAAGGTTGGTGACCACTGCTCTAAATGGTATCCTGGCTCCTAGTTTCTCCCAATTCTAGTGTATCCCTCATGCTGCCACCAGGATAATTTTTTTTAAGGTCAAATGTTTGTGAAGACCTCCACTATCCTGTTTCCTTCAAGAAAAAGCCCCAAACCTCAGCACACCACACAAAGGCCCTTCATTATTCAGATTATAACATGCCCTTTTGCAAATCTGCCTTTCCACATTTCCTCTTCCTCAAATGCCATTTCCCCCCTGTTCCCAACCACTTCCTGGCCCAGCTCCTTTCTCTATTAAGTATTTACTACACTGCATTTTAAATGTCTGTTTATTTCCCATGTCTATTCCCCTGGGAAAATCAAAACCTCTCAAGGATAGGGAAAGGCATTTCTCTTGTCTGTAGCTCTAGATTCTAGTACCAAGCAAATGCTCAACAAATATTTAATGACTGAGTTGCAAGCAATCAACAAACATTAAAATGATTTAAAAAAAGTCACAATTTTAAAATTGCTCCTTAGATAAAACTGAGTGAATGGAAAAGATGCAAATGAAACACTCAATTCAAATCTCAAGGTAAACATGGATACTCTGAACAGACATATAAGGACAGCAGTGCACAATACTTAAAATCTAGATTACCGCAGAACTTCAAGGTTGTCGGACTATGGCACTGGATGTACATAACATATGAAACTTCATCACCTCCCTCCTTAAAATCCTTCAATGGCTTTTTAAAGATAAAGCCTCATCTTTAATCTGGTGCACAAGGGCCTCCATAATAAACTTGGCTTCATCTTACAGCCTCAGCTCACACTACTCCCTCCCTTACTTCAGCCACATAGACCTTCTTTCCCACTTCAGTTTTTGCATAAGCAAATCTGCCAGTAATATTCTTTCATACACTTTGCTACTTCAAACTAGTTCACTCTTATTCTTTGGCTTTCAGCCTGAGGATTCCTTCCTTAAGTTAGCCCCATCCTTTGGTGACAGAGCATGAGTTCATCATGTCATATTATATTTGTTAGGCAATACCAATACAGGATTATGGGCCCTTTAAGATTATGTATATATATATATATCCTCACCTGAGGGAATTTTCTTTGAATTTTAGAGGGGGAGGGGGGAGAAATACTGATGTGAGAAACATGGATAGTTGCCTCCTGTATAGGCCCCCAGTGGGGCCAGGGATGGAACCCACAACCTAGGTATGTGCCCTGACTGGGAATTGAACCTGCCATGGAGGGAACTACACTCCTACCAACGGAGCCATGCCAGCCAGGCTCCTTGGGCATATTTTTATAAACTCTTCTCTGTCTCGCTTTCTTCACCAGTAAAACTGAAGTAAGAGTAGTACCCACTTCAAAAGATTAAAGGTTTAAAGGAAGTAGTTCATGTAAAGCACTTACAACTGTGTTACTATACAGTAAGAGTCCAATATATGCCAGTAATTACCATACTTAATTCGTTTTCACCCTTCCCCTCCCCAACAGTTCCTCTGCTCCTCTAGCCCAGGAACCACATCAGCCCGGGTCGTTCGTTTTCTTAGCCTCAACACATGGCAGGCCTCCAAGATATGATTAAAAAAACCAACAACTTAAAAAGCCTACGTTCCAAGATTGCCTTGCTTGCTGAACGCCTGCAGGCCACTCACTCATGCCATCTACGCCTGCTTTACCCTCAAGGAAAACAGTACAGTATCTATCCGAGAGGTCTTGTATCAGTAAGACGCTGCGTCCTGGAAGCCGGCGCACAACGTCAGCTGCACAAACGTGCGGTGTTTGTGACCCCAGAGCGGAGATGCGGGTTCCCTCCGGGCACAGCGCGTCCCGGCCCGCCCTCCTCGCAGCCACACCCTCACGGCGCTGAGTGCCGGTCCCCTG